GAGTGTGTGATTCTGGGTAGTTTTTCATATCCTCAGGTGCTTGTTTATGTATTTTAATTCTGTCTGGAGTTTAGACTTGCTGTTTTCTTCTGCTTCATACTTGTTTTTTGGGAAAAAGTATCAGTTGAAAGAGAACAGAAAACCCAGAAATAAATGCACAATTAAAATTTTTTTTTTTCCAACGTTTATTTATTTTTGGGACAGAGAGAGACAGAGCATGAACGGGCGAGGGGCAGAGAGAGAGGGAGACACAGAATCGGAAACAGGCTCCAGGCTCTGAGCCGTCAGCCCAGAGCCCGACGCGGGGCTCGAACTCACGGACCGCGAGATCGTGACCTGGCTGAAGTCGGACGCTTAACCGACTGCGCCACCCAGGCGCCCCTAAATGCACAATTAAATGGTCAATTAATCTTTGACAAAGGAGGAATGAATATACAATGGGAAAAAGACAGTTTCTTGAACAAATGGTGTTGGGAAAACTGGACAACATGCAAAAGAATGAAACCGGACCACTTTCTTTCACCACATAAGAGAATAAACTCAAAATGGATTAAAGATCTAAATGTGAGACCCGTGGGCACCTGGGTGGCTCAGTCAGTTAAGTGTCCAACTTCGGCTCAGGTCATAATCTCACAGTTCGTGGGTTTGAGCCCCATATCACATTCTGTGCTGACAGCTCAGGGCCTGGAACCCTCTTCCAGATTCTGTGTCTCCCTCTTTCTCTGCCCCTCTCCCACTCACACTTTCTCTCTCTCCCAAAAATAAATAAACATTGAAAAAAATAAATGTGAGACCTGAAACTATAAAATCCTTGAAGAAAGCACAGGCTGTAATCTCTCTGACACAGGCTGTGGCAACATTTTTATGGATATGTCTCCTGAGGTAAGGGAAATAAAAGCAAAAGCAAACTACTGGGACTACATCAAAATAAAAAGTTTCTGCACAGTGAAGGAATCAATCAGTAAAACTAAAAGGCAACCTATGGACTAGAAGAGGATATTTGCAAATGACACCAGATAAAGGATCAATATCCAAAATATGTAAATAACTTATATAACTCAATAAAAACAATCCAATCATGGGCAGAAGACATGAATAGAGATTTCGCTAAAGACAACAGACAAATGGCCAACAGACACATGAAAAGATGCTCATTATTACTTATCATCAGGGAAATGCAAATCAAAACTACAATCAGGTATCACCTTATACCTGTCAGAATGGCTAAAATCAACAACAAAGAAAGAAGGTGTGGGTGAAGCTGTAGATAAAAAAGATCCCTCTTCCACTGTTTGTGGGAATGCAATCTGGTACAGACAGTATGGAAAACAGTATGTTCCTTAAAAAATTAAAAATTGAACTACCCTGCAATCCAGTAATTGCACTATTGGGCATTTACCCAAAGAATACAAAAATGCTAATTCAAAGAGATACATGCACCTCCACGTTTACTGAAGCATTATTTACGATAGCCAAGACACGGAAGCAGCCCAAGTGATTGTCCATCCATTGATGAATGGATAGAGATGACATGATATACATATGTGTATATATATATATGTATATATGTGTGTATATATATATATGTGTATATATACATATATGTGTATATATATGTGTATATATGTATACATACATATGTGTATATATATTTATATATATATACATATAAAACACCTAATGGAATATTCAGCCATAAAAAATGAAATGCTGCCATTTGCAACATGGATAGAAGAAAATAAGTTTGTCAGAGACAGAGAAATGCTCTATGATTTCACCTATGTGTGGAATTTAAGAAACAAACAAGCAAAAGGGAAAAATAAGAGAGGCAAACCAACAGACTGTTAGCTATAGAGAAATAACTTATGGTTTCCAGGTGGGAGGTGGATAGGGGAATGGGGGAAATTGGCATGGGGATTAAAGAGTACACTTATGATGAACATAAGTAAATAAATTAATTAAATAAAATGATAAAAAAAGAATTACAAAAAAAGTAGAGAAGTTTAGGATGGAGAAATATAGATTATATAGATGAACCTTGAGTAACACAGAGGTTAGGTGTCGGGATGCTGACCCCCCCCCCCCCCACGAAGTTGAAAATCTGTGTATAACCTTTGACTCTAAAAACTTAACTACTAATAGCCTACTATGGGAAACCTTACTGATAACATAAAATCAATTAACACACATTTTGTATGTTATATGTATTATATACTATATTCTTAAAATAAACTAGAAAAAAGAAAATGTTAAGAAAATCATAAGAAAGAGAAAATACATTTCAACTACTGTACTATAGAAAATCCAGGTATAAAGAACCACACAGTTCAAATCTGTGTTGTTCAAAGGTCAGCTGTAATTGATCTTGTTGCATCTCATGCAGATCATTTTTCACACAGTATGTATAATCATCTGTTATCAAATGTAACATTTGCCTACTCCAGGTTCCACTGAGTAGGAAAACATTTTGTCATCATAAAAAAATTTTTTCCCTCAGTTGATTGTTTAGCATTTCATTTCCTGACTTCAGCATTAATTCTCTACGGGTTCTACTTTTCTCTTGTCCATTTTGTGAAACTGTGGTGTTTAACAAGATGTCTACTTTAATGACACTGTTTCCACTCAGTTGAAGCAAAGTCCAGATATTTTAGCAGGTTTTTTGTGTATAGGGGAGTGATGTGAGCTTTCCTTTTTCTTTATCCTCTTATTATCAATTGTCAAAAAAACTCTTCCATTTTGCACATATTCTTCTCTAGAATACATGCACTTGGAATACGGTCCCTTTAAATTGTATGGCCGACCCTTTAGACAGCGCCTACTTTGAAGTCACTTTACTGCAGCCCTACTCTGTTCTACCACTTGTTACTGTTGCACTTTCAGATTGGGGCGGGTTTTAATCTTTCTGTCGTTCCAACTAGCCTCTTTTGCTGGCATCCTTTCTGGGTCTGCCTTTGCTTGCCACAGAATCTTCTAGCAATGAGCAACTGGCACTGGAACAGTGCTGGGATTTGTTGTTGTTTTCTGTTTTTACTCATAGTTATTTTGCACTTTTGGCATTCTCTATCTTTAAATAATGTTGGGTTTGCAACTGGATAGAATTGTCATAGTTATGGACAACACTTCACACAACATTTAGGGAGCAGATTTTGGTACAGTACTTTGCTTACCTCACACCCACCACGGATGTCAGCCAGCTTGTTTTTTTAAAATCCTCTTAATATGTTTTTAAAACAAAAGCCAAATGTGAAAAAATAAAAATATAATTGATATTTGACTTGTGATTAACCGAAATTATGAGGTTATGGTTAAATTTACAAAGAGCATTACACTGTTGATGGGAGACCAGCTTCACTATAAATTTAATTACCAGAGTAGTTTAATTCCTTAGGTAGGTTTTGCCTTGTGTTACCAGATGTGTCAGACACCTGAAATGCTTAATAACAGATAGAATATACTAAATGTAGAAATTAAACTTGAAATGTTGACAGTTACTTAATTATTTAGGGCTTTAAATTGAACTGACAGCTTAAGGGAAATTTAGCCGGCCTGACTTGAATAATCAAAAGAAAGTAACTTTTTAAATGAGGAGATAGGATATGGCTGTGCTTGAAGATTAGATCTCTCCTTGCCCAATTCTACAACTTCATTTCTAAAGCTCACCATTTCTCCCAAACATATGATAGTGGTTCATGTCTCACTGCACATTTACCGTAGACACTGGGGAACCCCAGGGAGAACAAGACAAAGTTCCTAGACTTGTGGACTTCTATTAAAGAAGAGACCAGCAAATGAAAAAAGCAACCAAGTAAGCAATTCCAAGTAGTGACAAAGCCACAAGGATTAAAAATATATATATAAAAGATAAGGGAAGACAATGATAGAGAAGGGTGTTACTAGAATTACATTCAGGGAAGGCCTCTCTGAGGTACTGATATTTGATGAGATTTGAATGAAGTGAGGGAAAGACATTTAGAAGAAGATGGGGGGGGTGCGGGAGGCAGGAGGGAGAAGGGGAGGGTCTAGAAGAGGCCTTGAAGCAGGAACAAGCTTGGTGAGTTTAAGGTACACACAAGGAGGCCACTGCAGCTGAAAGAGTAAAAATAAGGTCAGAAAGAGAGGAGAGTAGCTCAAAAACAGACTTGTGGGTCACAGTACAGAATTTGAATTTTATTAAAACTGAGATGGGAAGGCATCAAAGCATGACATTTGGCCTGCTTCGGCTTTTTCCTCCTTGGTTATCTGGCCAGCTTCAATTTGTCTTTCAAAATCTAGCAACATCTCCTGTAGGCCATATTTCTTAACTCCCCAGGTAAGGTCAATCACCTCCTCCTGTGTGCTACTTCTGAGCAATAATAGATTACTACTGGCCGCCTCTCACATTTCTAGGGGTACCTAGGCTGTTGATTTTTACCTAGGTTGTGTTTTGCTTCCCCTC